TTCTCTGGCTTTCTGCTCCGCTTCTCTTTTGGCCTTTTCAATGGCCTCTTCTCTCTTCTTGGCCAGTTTCGATCCTGCCAGAGGCATAAAGTATAAGTCTGCTCTTGAGCATGAGTTGTAGCCACGGTCCAGGTGCTTATAGAACCTGAAAGAAACAAAAGAGAAAAAGCTTAGCCCTGGGAAAGGTGGAAGAGTCTGGGATTTAAGAGCTGTATGTCAAAAAAAAAAAAACAACTATCACCCTACACTTGTACAATAGCGCTACCAGCTTCCCTGAAAGCCATGAGAAAATTAATTGTACTGTATTACTCCACAGGCAAGCGAAGTATAAAACCCCTCTCACAATTACAAACTGTAACGCCCTGTCTGAATACACTGGCTGAAATAGCACCTTTCCAGAAAAACAGAGCAAAATCACGCTAGACAGAGAGGCTGACAAGATGCACATGTAAAATACACTCGGCTCCCACAGGAATTCATTTCTCAGCTTCTGGGAGTGTCCTGCTACACAGAAAAACACAGAGCACATGAAGGACGCACTGATGACAACCTCCGTACCTGGCTGACTGACTAGCATGACTTGGTGTATCCACCACAGTAGGTTCTGGTGATGGACTTCTGGGTGGAGGGGGAGGGCTTTCTGGTTCCTCAGCTTCATCTGGGACTTCTTCTTTGATTTGAATAGGTGGTAGCGTGCATGCTGTCACCACTGGCACGTTTCCACTAGAAGCTGCTGATGTGGAGATGGAAGTCTGAAGCGGGATGCCAGGCACAGTGGGTGGCGTGGATGTGGAGGGGCAAGAAGGAGGGGTGATGGAAGGTGGGCCTCCTGGGACAAATGGATGCTGAGAAAAGGGGGGCTGGGAGGATACCTGATGGAGTCCAGATGGGGGGTGATTAGCAGGTGGGGGAAGGCTCTGACTCTGCGTCAGTACAGGAGGCTGAGCTTGCGAAGACTGCAGCGGTTGGCTTTGAGGCATCAGCTGCAAAGGAGGAGGGTGTGCAGATGGAGGATGATGAGTTGAGAGGGAGCTCAGAGGTTTTAAAGCAGGTGGTGGAGGCAAGTTGGAGTTCATTGAGAATGGAGAAGGGCCAGAGAGATGAGGAGGGTGCTTGTGGGATGGAGCAGTGGGGAGCTGAGGGATTGGGGTAGTAGGGGGAGGTTTGATATGAGGCATGGCCATGGGTGCAGGGGGCAAGGGCTGCTCCCGTGGAGGCTGAGCCTGCTGCAGGGAGGTTGCAGTCGGTAGGACAGGCTGCGTTACCTGAACCTGGAGAGCGGAGTGGGAATGAGATGGTGCTTGTGTCTGAAGGGGAACCTGAGACTGAGATGACTGAGTGGGGAGGGAAAATGGCTGGGAAGGTACAGGATGAGGCAGGAGGGGTTGGGCCTGCAGGCTGTGAGGGGCAGGCTGGGCCTGACTGTGGAGCGGAGGCTGCGAGTGAGGCTGCGAAGAGGCAGGGGTCGGCTGGCTCTGCGACACGCTCAGAGGCTGCAGAGGTGGGTGGGGTGACGGGAGCCTCTGTGGGTGCAAAGCAGGAGCCTGCTGTATGTGAGAGTGAGGAGGTGGTGGCGCAGGGGCCTGGGGCTGGCTGGGGGGCTGGGATGCCGATGGCGAGACCTGCGGTGGGGCTGAAGTCGCGCTCGATGCTGCTGGCAGCGATGCTGGTAACTGGGCTGATATAGGCGGGGGAGGGGGGAGCACTTGCTGTTGAGCAGATGAATCCGAGTCACTCTCATTGTCTTGAGGGCTAGGGATGCTGGGTGACGTGCTCCGGTTATCCTGGTCGATGTCCTTGGGATCACTGCTCCCCTCGTCATTGACGCTGCGGCTGTCAGAGCTCTCGCCTTCGCCCTCACCCTCTGAGGGAGAGTTTGGCCTGCTGATCTCCTGCAGGGAGAGGGGGAAGAATAAACACCCTGCATGAGAAAACTGCACGAAGAACATTACCAGCATGCCATAGGATGCAACCCACTACACATGCTGTGCAAACACAAGTGCAAGTACCACCCTTTGAACCTCACAGGACTTAAAACAGCACAGGCAACGTAAATATCCAAAGGGAGGGTGCAAAGACAACAGAGCCAGGCTCTTTATAGTAGTGTCCAGTGGCAATAGGCACAAACTGAAATACAGGAGGTTCTGCCTGAACATAATGAAACGCTTTTTCACTATGACGGTGACCAAGCAACGGAACAGGTTGCCCAGGGAGGCTGTGGACTCTCCATCTTTGGAGATATTCAAAATCCGTCTGGACACGGCCCTGGGCGGTTGCCTCTAGGTGGCTCTGCTTGAGCAGAAGGGGTGGACTAGATGATCTCCAGGTCCCTTCCAACCTCAACCATTCTGTGATTCTGTAATATGCAAAGCTCAGTGCCAGAGTTCCCAAATCCTGTGCACAGAGTGAGCCTGGTCAGGTACATGGAGCTGAAAAGACATCCTAAAGGTATTTCAATTGAGCTTTGATACCATTACATTAAGAGAACTCCAGTGGTGGTCTTCTAACTTGCCACAGAAGAAGAAAAAACAAATTTCAATTAAAAAAAATTGGGGGGAGGGGGTAGAAAATAATCAAAGTATACTCCTATATGGTTGATATTGATACTAGAACAAAAAAAAGACTTCTGGACTTACCCTCTATCATTCCACTCTTTTTCAACAGAAGGAACACATTATAATATGGGTTGCTTTCCAGCCACAGATTGTTACAAATTCACTATGGCTTAAATTGTTTTCATGTTTTTCGTTTGTTACCAGGTTTGCACCCCCTCCCACTCTCAAGCCATTCTCCTAAGAGAAAATATTCCTTTGTGGGACTCACTTGAGTTTTGGATTTTTTGGCATTGGACCTGTCAGGTTCCTCTGTGTCAGAAGCTGCCTTTTCCCGCTGCCTCTTGGAGTTCTTGAGAGGAGAAGATACCTCTTCTTTTATCTTCTGCCACAAATGAAGCAGAACACAACAGTTACCAGTGATACAAATGCAAAAGTAAATGGAGCGTATGCCAGTGCTACCATATTTAATACAAATAAACGAGAAGGGTTCCTATGGAGCAGGAGGACTGATCAGAAGTTGAGTATTTAACAACAAACCAATATGCATCTGTTGCTCTGTCCAGTTACGGGTTGCAGGGGAATCTGTTCTGGAGCTGCTGCTGTATTCCCTATCTGCCAGGAGCAGCTCCCAGAAGACCTGCATCTACATAATGCTCTAGCCACTCCTTCTGGAGGTCAAATTTAAGACAGAACCCAAGACAGACTGCAATTTTGCTCCTGCAGACAGAAACCCAAGGGGCAGTTTGCACACAAACCCTGCATACATTTCTGACACAAGCTAGTAAGAAAAAGGAACGTGAAGTAAAGAATTCCTCATCGTGCAGATGTGGTCTCGAGCTTTGAAAGTGAAGGGATATTTTAAACAAAAGCAGTTGTCTTTCCACCTTCAGCTGTGCAGAATCGAGTCCTTGAGGAACTCACACTACATCAGCTCTCCCAGTGCACTCTTCTAATGGAGACCAACACCAGTTGTTAACAGAGGATGGAGCAAGAACTTCTGCAGTAGACAGGCACAAGATAAGCGTGTCTCTTTCTACTACATGAAAGCCTTGCTTTACTCCAGATATTTTGAGAGGGCTATTTTTATACCCCCTCAAATATAGGGCTAACAGTGAGTAGTTATTACGAGATTACTACCTTCTTTCATGGCCTGGGACAACTTTATACATCACATAATTACCTAACCTAACTTCAAATTTTGCTAAGTTCTCAGTTTTAGCATGTGAAAACTTACTCCATACTCCAGTTTTGACTTGTTTTTTAAAATAAATATTTATTTTTAACTTGCTACTTTTCAATTTACACTGCTTAATGGCAAGCCTTCCCGCTTCATCTGGCTTTGTTTCTTCAGTACTGTCTTGGAAAGGCACTTATTCATTTAAACAGACTAAACTGTCAGCTTGCTCTGAAAAATCAAGCAAATATACCGACAGAAAAACAGTAACAGAAGTAGACTCAATTACTACATATTCATATTCCTTTGTAAACAAAGATTAAGCACTGCTTAAAAAAAATCCCCCAAACTGTCTACTTGTCTCAAATACAGCATTTCTGATCTGTATTACTTCCATGAACCTCATGCTTGCATTTGCATCTGAAATTGAAGGATTAATTTATCATGAGAGCAGTAAGGTTATGTGGGGATACTTTAATGCTTTTTATCACTACACATCCTTATGTATAGGAACAAACCATCACTCAGATGCACCATTAAATTTTTTGCTTATCCGAACAAGTAGGAATTTCTAGGTCACTGAGAGATTGCCTGGCTTCCTAGAATCTGCATCTCCTGCAGCTGACTGAAAAGGCCTCAGGTGTCCAGTCCTAACACAAAAGAAGAACGGGAAAATTTTACCTTGGTAGACTTCTTCACTGAATCTGCTTTGCTGTCATTGCTGGAGGTGCTGGCAGCGCTAGGAGAGTTGCGGCCACTAGAACGGATGTCTTCATTAATAGGTGAGGCTCTACCATCAGGGCTGGCTGGCTGCTTTTTACGACCACTACGTAGTGTAGACATCTGTTTGTTTAACAGAAATAGAAGTGTATCAAAATCAACATTTGTCCAACCTCTTTACTTTTTTTTCTGTCTTACATCAGGGGCATGGATGGACCACTCCTGCTAAGAGCTTGAGAAATGACAAACCAAGAGCATTTGACATTGTAACAATTTCTCCTTGAAAGCTCATCCGGACTTAAAAGGAGGCAAATCCTTAATTTGTCTACTCAAAAACTAAGTGCTGATTATTTTATTTAGTAGTGCCTGCTAGAAATGACAACATTAGAAAGATGTTCCAAAGCTGCTGCTGTTTGCAAGCTAAATTTTCGTCATAAAACGCATGTGCGCACATTTGTAGGTGTGTGTACACACGCGGTGAATGAGGTAGCAGGGGACCCTTGTGTTCCATTAAAAAAAAAAAGTCTATCTGTTGGCATTCAAGAGGTCAAGACCAGTTTCTAAAGCCACAGTTTCAATGTGCTCCTGCTATGCCATAAGGAATCACAGCAGAGTGTATTTCAATAATTAATGCTGTTTCCCTCCCAGTTTGGCAGTTTTTTGGATGACTGGCTACCACAAAAACAACAAAGCCACCTTACTTGACAGTGTAGCCTCACAAGGTATTTAGAAGCAATGGTCACATCATCATGATCAGAAAGATGGAGAGGGGAGGGCAAGAAATTTACCTGCTGCTTTCTATCAGCCAAAACCCAAAGCAAACATCAAATTAACTAGAGCTGCTGTCAGAGTTCTCACGAGTGACTTGCGCACAGTAAGGCTCCCAGCATTTCACCCCGAGTAAAAACTCTGCGACAGGGCACACTGACCATAGGCGCAGAATACAGTTTTCTGCAGGGAAGGGATTTTAACTCCAGTAATGTGAGGAGACCACAGAAATAGCATTTAATTTTTTCAAACTCGTCCTTTAAAATAAGCCCAAGGGCTTACCTCTGACGGGCTCCAGCTGGAAGAAGGATACATACTAGCACAAAATCTGTAATGATGCACTGGTCAAGGGCCCCCTCATGATGACAGTCCACTGCCAGTCATTAAAAACGTGAAAATAACAAGCTTGACTACAACTTGCAGAAGAGACATTGCAGCTCCTTTTTCCAAAGAAAGCCTCAACGTCAGCAAATCTCACACTCGCATACACAAATGCAGCAGCAGGCACATACCAGGGCGAACAAGCAAGATGGAGAAAGCGTCATTTTAGAAGTTTGACTACCTTTTTCCAGACAACACCCCATCTTTACAGAAGAAGCTGCAATGCAAAAGTGTTAAGCCTACCGAGCCTCGACTCCGCCTTGTCCTCATGCTATGCTTTCCACTAAGTCCATCATCTTCCTCTTTGACAGGCTTAAACATAAAGGGTGGAGGGTCTACAGGCTTCTCAATGGGTGGCAGCTCTCCGTATTTTTTGAAGTGAATGCGACAATCGGTGCACAATAAAATGTTTTCTCGACCGCCGTGGTGCCAGTCCTTGGAGGCTTGGGGCAGGAAAAGTGACAGCTTAGAAATAGGCAACGTACCAGATACTCAGCACAAACACATTGCATTATTAAAAAAGCACACAACTAGAAAAGTAGCTGCTTTTCTATGGGCAACAAAGTTGGAGAAATTTCTGGAAAACTCTGTCCTGTTCCAGGCTTAGTCTGTGTTCCAGTGCACATCTTCAATATTCCACTTACAAACTATTTGTTTACTTAAGCAACTACAGCTTTGAAACAAAGAAAGGAGCCTTATCTGCTCTACCTGGGAGTTAACAGACAGCTATTGTTCTCCAAAGCTGTGGTTTCTTAAAGCGAAGTGAGCTATGAACTTCTCATTTCCCTCCCTTCCCCATTTTGGGGCTCACACTTCCATGCCATGCCTATGCCCAAATACCAGACAACCTTCAGGAATACCTGTAGGAACGAGGCTGCTGCAGAAGAGATTTGGTGCAGCGTGAAGAAGTTTTGTGTGCGGCAGTCACAGTCCAATACTGATTTGCTGTATCACAAACGGATTATGTAGATTATGGATTATGTAGATTTTTTCCTGAATAAATGTCTACCTTTCAGGATTCTCCTTTGTCACCGCAATATTAACTTGCAATGGCAAATCATGATTAACTCTGCCAGGAATGCTGCATACTTTAGCTGATTCAACCCCACATTTTTTTCAACAGCTGTACATGCACACGAACTGCTCTTGCTTGACTGAACCTGCATTAAGTAGGCAGTAGCAGAAGGGAGAGAAATACAGCAATGAATCAGGTGCGTACTGGTTGTGAAGCAGTGACGACAGGCGTAGCCCTTCAGTTCCTGTTCACTGTCCTCGCTGTCAAAGTCATCTTCGCTGGCCGAGCTCAAGTCCACTGAATAAGTAAAGAACAAGGGAAGAAGAGAAAAATGGAAAAGAAAAACTCAGTAGGATTTTCTATCTCCTCCTACTGGCTAAAACAAACATTAATAATAATAGTTCTTGCATAAATTTTGTGACTTCCTACAATCACCTTGCTTTGGATGGCCATTATTTCTGATTTTGCAATCTAAGCAAGGCCAGGCCTGATCAGTCTACAGATTAAAGGAGGATTCCAGGAAGGCAGCAAACGATACGATTCACTGAACTTTTCATTCAGTACACAGTACTTTTCCAATTAAGTTGTCGTTCAAATACTGTTCGTGCTTAGTTAGAGAGGCTGCATTCCAAAAGCACAATTTTCAAGAGAAAGGAGGTTTGTATCTCTAGAACCTGATCAAATTTAAAATCAAATACGCTATACCTAAATCCTACTTTACTAGATTCCATGGACAGATACTGTGGTGGCTCTTCTGGTTTTTATTTTGTTTCTAGATTTCATCTTCTAAACCAGATGGGGACTGCTGCTATGCTGTTAGACAGCGGCTATATTTAACCCAAGAGCTAGATATGTTTTGCGGGTAGAAGAAATGATGCTTGCATATAATGTAGCTGTTTGAAAAACACGTCATGATTCTTTTGGACGAGAAGTACGACAAGGATACCACCAGCTTTCCAATTCTTACTGCAAGCCTCCGTAAGAGTTTTAACCTGTGGCAAACAAATTTCAAGAATGTCATCTTTCAAAGAAGTGGAGAATATGGAAAGGGTCACTTTCCTTTGTGGCAAGTAGCAAATTAGCTGATTACAAGGCTGTGAGCTAAAAAGTACCATCTAAGCCACTGAAAATCTGCAGACATCACAAAAACAGTCTCTTATCTTCTAAAACAACTCAGAAGTAAATCCTTTCTTATTGAGTACTGCATTTTTCTAGCAGCACCACTATAAATTCACAACATGACACGTCCATAATTTGTCAAAAGCAGAAAGCCCTGTGGCTTCTTTTGTTCACGTCTTTAATTAGAAAAGAAGTCCTTGATGCAAGAATACTGTTTTTCTAACGGTTCCAAGAGGATATTTTGTAATACGTGCAGGTTATAGAGAGGGAGGGATTCTACAGTACTTGCCATTACCATTTGTCATCACCTCATTACCCTTCAGATTAACACAGGGCACTACCGTAATTTCTACATTAATTCTTGCAGGTGTTTAAACCCTGACTGCAAAATTGACACCAGAACTTGCGCTTTCTTTTACTGAATTGATGTTTATTCTCACCCTGCAGGCGGATCCATATGGATGGGTCCTTCCAGCCACGTGCACTCTGAAGTGCTGAGTATCTTGGAGTGAGCTGTAGAGTCAAGACCCTCACTTCTTGTGCACGCAGAAATCAGCACGAAATCCTATCCCTTTCAGCAAGGAGAAGCTAACAGCCCTTGCTTACTACCTAACACCCTCTCCAGAATTCTGTCGTGCCCGCTTATCACATCCTCTACCTCCCTGATATTAGTAACATTCTGCCAATTTCTGCCTTCCACGTAGTCCCTTTTCTTTAGAAGGCACGTGAAACGTGCTGGGTTCAGTCCATAGAAAGACTTAAAACTCACAGGGTAACATAAGCCTCTTACAGAAGGATAGAAGTTGATATATCCATATGGACATTAGTGATCATAACCCTTTGCAACGCAGTGCATTTCACTGGTTTGGGCAATTATTCTTTGTTTAGACACTTCTGCTTCAGTCAAGGCCAAAGTTCTTCCAAGATGCATTAAGATACAACAGTGCTGGCTGCAGCACACAGTCTGAGATCAAGCAGAAGCTATGGGTCACCAAGGAAGGACGAAAGGGACTTCCTTCCAAAGGGAAGGCGGCCTTCCTTCTTTTTGCATTTTCTAATTTCCATTACTGCAATAAGCCTGGAGAAAATACAACACAAAACAAAACCAAGAAAAGAGTACGGAAATTCAGTACCAGGGCAATGTTTCCATCCTTACAGGATGCTTTTATGTTTAAGAACTGCACAAAGCACTTGGTGATCAAAGACGCCTACCACATTCCAGCATAATGGTATAGAAACAGGAGAGGGCAACTGCCTGAACTCCATTTCCTTGCTTCATTCACTTGAAGGTACAGCACCATTACATTACTGTTGCTCCCTGAATCTAAACAAAGATAAATGCATTGCTTTTAGCTTCCACTTACAGAATTCACTGGAGGGGGGCCTGGAGGGAGTGTTGACTGGAGTGGAAGCAGTTCGAGTTTTAATTCTCCGAAACACAGCCTGTCTTCGATGCCTACGGTGGGCTCGAGAACTTGCTGCTTCAGGGGTTTTCTTCCAATAGTAATAGAAGGTGATTAGTTCTCCCTGCAAATACAGAAGGAGTATGTTAGAGGGGCATGCAACTCTGACTTGTCAGCTTTTTTGCTCCCTTTTGCTCTCTGTATGCGTGCACATGTATTTTTGTAGGAAGCTTCATGATGTATTTCAGCCAGACAAAAGAATGCTTTAGATAAGACAGAAAAAAAAAATCTTCAATATTTTTTGTTTGCTTTTGCAGGGGAGGAACGGAAATAAATGGCCTTCTCGCTCCTCTCCTCCTCCACTAGAAAAGAGGTTGGGTGGCGAGTATCCAGCTTCCACCTGGACGCATTTCGGACGAGGGTGCCCTCGCCTTGCTGCCAGCACCCTGGTGCCACCTCTGCACAGCTCGGGAGGCACCCGGAGAGGCACTGCCTCCCAGGGAGCCCTCAGAACAAGCGACTGATAACTCCTAGGAATTCTCTGGTGTTTACAGAAGGAGTAAGGATCAAGTCAAACAGATACTGCCATTTTGTCAACCTACATTCTGCATACAGATATTTTTAAATATTCCTGTTTAAGCAGCTGAAAGTTGGAATAAAAATGTGTTCAATGAGAAGTCTGTAACCATAACTCAACCCTACTACAGTAAATCGTGTTTTAATTTGAATATATATGCCCACATCTAAATTAATTAAGCAGTTAAAAGAGCACACCTAGAGAAATGAGTGATAATTTCACAGCATAATGAATCTGGCTTACATTCAAAAACTGGAGCAGCTGCCATTCAAACTAGCGGATGTAATGCTGAACTAAAGAACAGCATGTGGTTTTAATCTCTTTTCTCTTACTTTGAAACCTCATCATTTCCTGGCGACTTGTCTGCCTCTAAGGTAAAAGGTGTTGTTTCTTTCAAGTTGCAAGGGAAAAACGGAGAAGTTCTAACCAGCCCCTTGAAAAATCAACATCAGAACAAACATACCTGAATTGCCCACAAAAAGGGTTTCTTTGAACTGCATTTTATGTGATCAAATAACAGAACCTCAGCCTCTGTGGGGAAATCCTGCAGCCTAAACTCAGGGCAGATCACTCAAATTAACTCTAATAAAGACACACCCTTAATCCAAACCCTCCCAAGGGCCTCAAACAAGCAATTACAGCCGTAACTAACATCTGTACCACTGAAACACTTGAAAGACAAAAGGAGGATGTTGTTCTAGACAGTAACTGCTGACATTTAAGACACTTAAGAATTTTACCAATGCCTACTTTAAAAATAGAAACACCAGACAAAGAACACAACCACAACTTTGATTTCTGGTGACGGGCAGAATAGATGCATTTTTAATCTGCACTGCTCTAGACTGGGATTGATGCTACCGATCTCCGCCACAGACCTGAGCAATATTCACACCAAACTGTATTCAGAGTGATACTTGGTCAGGAGAAGGAAGGATTAAGTGGGCAAAATTAACCGTTACCTACAACAGTTGATTCTGAAGGACAAAAGCCCTACTAAAAAAAAAAAAAAAAAATAAAAAAAAAACCCTAACCTTTTCCTGAACATGAAAAGGAATTTACCAATGCCTACTTTAAAAATAGAAACACCAGACAAAGAACACAACCACAACTTTGATTTCTGGTGACGGGCAGAATAGATGCATTTTTAATCTGCACTGCTCTAGACTGGGATTGATGCTACCGATCTCCGCCACAGACCTGAGCAATATTCACACCAAACTGTATTCAGAGTGATACTTGGTCAGGAGAAGGAAGGATTAAGTGGGCAAAATTAACCGTTACCTACAACAGTTGATTCTGAAGGACAAAAGCCCTACTAAAAAAAAAAAAAAAAATAAATAAAAAACCCTAACTCTTTCCTGAAGAGCTAAAGCTAAAATGGACGCAGGCTGGCAATGAGCATTGGAGCTGTGTCAGATCTGGGAAGAACACAGTGTTCTGACACCCAGCACCTTGCTCTGCTACTGCATGTCCAACTGTACGTGTGTTTGCTTTAGAAATACCATTTTACTTTGAGTCCATTAAGTGGGCTCAAAGTCCACCCAGCACAACTGTTTGCCAAACTGAGGAGACGACCTGTGCCAGGAGGCAGACCAAGCTCTGCAGAAAAGCTTATGCCATGCTTTTCAGGGGTAGAAAGTCTCTTGCAAATGAAACCAGCCATATTTTACCTATAAATTCATTTATATCAAATCTGAGGTGTCAGCACCAAGCAGCAAGTCAGTAAATCCCATGTCTTTATGTCAGTGAATTAATGTGTCCTCTGACATATGGCAACAGCAGAGTGCAAACCAATCTGTTTTCCTCCTATCATAAAATAGGAAATGGGAACCTATTGGAGCTCTGTTTACACATCGCAAACCCATCAGGCCCCAAGGGAAGTTTAACACCTTACACATGCACTACATCATAAACAAAACTTTAAAAAAAAAAAAGAAATGGCATGTATTTATTAAAAAAATACTAACTTCATGATCATAATGCTTTTCTTCCCGAGACCCTCCCAACACTGTAGTCACAACTGCATGCAGGTAAAAATGAAACGGAAGTTTATTCAACAACTAGTTTTACTCCACCTATGAAATCTGGATATATTAAAGACCTAGAGAATACTCTGTACTTCAAATTCATCGTCAGACTGCACAGCTACGTGACTCAGTAAATGACTCAACTTTCTGACAAAGACGGAGAAGTAAAGTCAGAGAGGAAGCATACGCAGCGAATGTTGATGTTATATACGTACACGCAGGTTAGCCATGTACTACACTGAAAAAATTCCATGCCAGATCTTATTAGCTGCCTGGCTATCTAATATTATATTGTCTACCTAAGGGATTAAATGCTGGAGTGGAGTGAGCCTGGAAGGATTAGAAACAGCATACGCTGGTGACTGCACAGGTGGCAGAAGCTTGAGCACAAAGGAATAAGTCAGGAAAGCTTTGGTTCTACAAACAGGCAGTAAAAACAGCTTCCAGCTTCACTGCAAGTGAAGTCAAATGAACTTTAATCAAACATGCATAGCGTGCGCTGCTGAAACCCATCGCACATAAATTCAGGGAACAAAAGCTGTTGCAGAGATCAATAGCCTACTGAAACATTAACGCAGGCAAGCATTGATCAAAAGGCCCTTTTACAAAAGGCAGCCTTGCAAATTAGCTGCTGTTTTTGCTTGCAAGCAAACAGAAAGCATAAACGCTGCTGACGTGAATGGTCTGTAATGATCATTTTGTTCCTGGCGATCTCACCTCACCTCGCCACAAGGTCTCGCAGTCAACACATCCTACATCTCTGTCCTGTAATTGCTAACAGCACGATGAACTGAGGCGGCCTGGTGCTGCTTCACTGGCAGAGGGCTGAGAGCAGCTGCGGTGAATCTGATTTTCTGGGTAGCAGGTCTACACCCAGGGGAATAGCCCTAACCTAACAACCTGCAAATATATTGCATGTCTCCTTCGAAGCTTTTTGTGCCAAGAACTGGGTATTGCTAGCAACAGACGCCCTAAAATCACACAAGATAAAGCAGACTGAACCATCCTTCATTGCATCATGATACTCATTCAACTTAAGAGTAACATCCTCCTCATTTCCAAACTTCAGAGATAAATTAAGGAAGGGGTGAGACCACTGAAGCAACTACCACCTGTGGTGAGGTCTCTGGCTGATGGTGGAAGAGAAACCCAAGGCTTGCGAACGAAGTTCAGGGAGGGCTGAACCTGCTGCTTGAAACAGTGACCTTGTTCGTCACTCTCTAATCCAGTTTAGTGGCCTGAAGTGCACAGACCATCCGAAGTCAGGGGGAGACTGTCTCCTTTTGCAATAAGCACCATCCAGCTGCTTCTGCCACCCTCTTCTCTTCCCTGCACCCAATAACATGCTCCTGTTTAATCAAGCTCTGGGACCGCCGATAAAACAGGCATTAACAACCACTGCAAAGCCTCACAATGAAACGGTAAACTCAAGCGATGCATGGCCCAGCTTAGCACCACTTCAAAGTAGCAAAATTTTATGTGGCTGCACATACACGGACGACCCATGATGCATACGCAAATGAGAAACGTAAGTGTTCAATGAAGCAGTCCCTCACAGCACACGCAAAACCATTCTTCAGCAAAGCTCCCAGTCTACTGAATCAGAGCAGCTCTAACATCCCAGATGTTTGGTGGTAAGATAGCCAGTATTTTGAGGCAACTGTCCAGCAGGAAGGGTCTCCATGTCCAAGTCACTGCTTGTTTCATCAGAACTGTTAATGGGCTGCCTGCTGTCCCTGAAATCCCCCTCAGCTCTCAGACCCCCAGATACTGATGCTGGTGACAGAACTGTGCGTTTGCATCCCTTACCAATAAAGCCAATGTTAGAAGAGAAGTCCCAGTAAAACGACCCACAAGTCTACTCCAACAGCATCCCTCAAATGAGCAGCTCTAATTCCTGTACTGTGCCACACCCAAGAAAGATGCTATTAGTGCCCTCCCAGATCAACCCCATCAGGGAACAGCTTTTTCCATCAGTGTGGGGAGAAGATACATTTCTCTCCCAATCCGCTTAGTTGTTCACAGTACCAGCCCCACCTCCACTTGATACAACGCCACCTCTCTCTTCTGCAAATACAACCCCATTTTTCTATGTTAACATCTCATTAACTGTCCCAAGCAATTTATCAAAATTAATCAAATTTATAAAGCAAAATGAGAAGCATTGTTCAGGCTTTTAATGCTGCCTTTCCTCGAGAACATCTACTTTCCTATTACCAAAGTTTCACAAGACAAAGGGGATACGTTCCTCACTAAAAACCATCGTTTGGCTTTCATCAATTTTGAAATTCATCTGGAGCTCACAGCTCCTCAAATCTCTTGCCTTCTGCCAAGGCCATTTCACCCCATGTTGTAGGTACATAGAAAAAAAGTCACGCTTCGCCTCCTTTTAACTCTGTTCTAGAGATTATTTTTAAAGAGAAAGAAATGGTTCAGACCCACTCCCGCAGGAGTACGCAGCGGCGAGACCTTCTCTGCAATTCAGCTCTGGAGGCCGAGCTGAGAACAGCCTCCCAG